GAAAATATCAGCAAATCGTTGGAGTGTTAAGGATTACAATAGGGTCTAACATATCCTTATTTTTTTGGAACTCACGCATATTTTCAAAGAAAATAGCGAATGTCAGTTTTAGGTTCGCGGTTTGACAGCTTCTCTCCTCGCCCTCTTCCACTCCATTACAGACATATAGCAACGCGGAAGAGAATTGTGCAGAGATACCCTGATCAATAAGACCTAACCAGTACAGACCTTGGTAATCGCATTTGGAAGGCAATAGATTCAATATAAAATATCAATGCTATCGTAAACACTGAAGGAAAAGTTCTTTTTGTAGTTTCAAAGTCAGACACCAGAATAACACGTTTAAAAGATATATGGGAATTCAACATTTCAGCTCTTTTGGAAGTTCGCTAAGAAATTTTTATATAAAGATTACAAAGTTTTGAATGAAAGTCGATAAAATGCGATGAAATATTTATGTCGATTATAATCAATTTTAATTGCTCTTTCTGATAATGGCATTCCATTATCATATCCCACCGAAACTAGCGCGGCATTCGATGAGATTTGTTAAACAGATCGTCATTTTCACCAAATTCTACTAAAGTTTACCTAAGATTTAGGAGGAATTTCATAAATAAATGCTGAGATTAGAAAGAGCGATTAAAACAAATCATAATGGACACGAGGATTTTCTTGCATTTCATAGGCTTTGCTCAAGAAAATTTTTAATCTTTGGGCAAAAATAAGCACTTCTCGCATCCGTAGAACACCACTACGCACGAGTCTTCTCTTTCTGCAATGCAAAAGCTGGTGACAGATTTACGTGACTCAGAACTGGGCATGTCACACGAGAATTTCCACGCATCATAGACTCCGATAGACATGGCTTTGGCACCATCACAAACGGTAACATGAACGCCTTTAGACCGATTGGGGACCATGGTAGACGTGACACGGATCCATCGCTAGCCGAGGTTAGTTTCATCACACAGCCGTTATGGCTGAATTGTAAAGATGCTCGACTCATATCCACAAGATGGTATGTTCAAACCTCGGCGCCATCATAAACAGAATAACCTTGGACAAGTCATTAGCGGCTGTGTTGTCTCGGACCATCTATCCAGTAGCAAGCTGGCTACGTTGTCGACATACAAAAAAAACCTTTATGGCTCGCATATGGTTATTCAGCATGTATGAGAAGCTTAAGCAGTTAAGCGAGAAGAACTCTGAGTCAGGGCAGTCTTCTATCTAGAGCTGTATCTAGTTATAATGGCAGGAATAACATCAGGCTTCTGGAATTGTCCTTAAACAGTGCCCCATACTGGAAGGTAGCCACAAGCCGACGGTACTCTTCTTATTCTTCTTTAAAGATCGTGACGCTCAAGACTTTGAATTTTTTGGAGACTGTAACGGACAGAAAAGTGCAAATGGTGACGAACAGTGTTGGAATTCGTCACCGGCTAAGGTTAGCCTCACCAAAAATTATGACAGGCAATGTTTTCAATCTATGATAGACTTCGACCGGCATTTTTTCAGTCAGTACAGGCTTGAGCCGACGGAGTTCGAGCTGATCACAGGTATTTACAGGCAGAGTTTGGACCAATGACGAACCATGGCAGACACGATTGTGGACTCGTCTCAGATAGTTTCTGGCCGAGGTGAGATCCATCATAGATTCTGATCAGGCTCGTCACGAATCTTTACGTATAGTCTTCAAATGTCGCTTAGATCATGACAGAAGACTTCATGGATATATTAGACATTATGTATACTCAACATATCATTGAAACATATGGAAAATTATCTGGTTCAAGCTCTATAATCTTAAGTAACCCTTGATGAGGGGATGTGCTCGGATACGCATAAAAAAATTCAAGGATTTTGCCAACAACAGCTTCATCGTGCATCACTTTTTCATCCTGCAAGGATTGCGCTATCAGATTTTTGTTTTCAAGCTCCTCTACTAAATAACTTACGATCGTGGCGGTTTGGTTTCTTATGCTTAAATAATTCGCTTTGTACTTTTGGCTGATAAGGACAGAGTTTGCTTGTATCTATCTTTTATTCTTTTACATATATAACTTTAACTATGAAAAATGTTGAGAACAGTTACACTTATCAAAAATAAAACATTTAGGTGAGCAAGCGTACAATAAGTGTCTGATATTGAGAGAAAAAATTATTGTCAACAAACAACTTTATCTAGAAGAGAATTCAACACGAAATAATTATTTCTATATGATGTGAGTTCTAAGAATGAATGTTCAAATGTTAGTTGAAAGCATATATGGAATGATAAGATAAGGGCAATAAATACAA